CATGACAGCAGTGTTCCAATATCTCAGGGGCTGCCACAAAGATAAAAGGGGGCGGGGTCAACCTGTTCTCCAAAGCAACTGAAGCTAAAACAAGAACCAATGGATGGAAACTAATCAAGGAGAGAAGCAACCTAAAACTAAGGAGAAATTTCCCGACTGAACGATTTATCAATGGAACAACTTGCCTCCAGAAGTTTTGGATGCTACAACACTGGAGGTTTTTAAGAAGAGACTGGACAGTCACTTGTCTGAAATGGTTTTGATTCTCCTGCTTGAGCAGGGGATTGGTCTAGAAAAGCCACAAGCGGTGATCCATGTGGATCATTGGTGGTCCATGAGAAAATGTTGGTGGTCCGCAGAAAATTTATTTGCATTTTTTATATTGCACTAAATACTATTTATCTTTTTTTTAAAAAAAATCATATTGGTGGTCTGTGGGATTTAAAATTATGAATTCAGTGGTCCCTGAGGTCCGAAAGGTTGGCGATCCCTGGTCTAGAAGAGGACTATTCTGGTTGGACTATTCTGTTCTGACACATCAAATGATATTTCTCAATTTGAATTAATATTGCTGCTTATGATCCCTAAAATCCAAATGAACCCCAGTGAAAGTTACAACTGTCAGTGTCTTAAATATCATTATCACTTTCCATTTGCATTGCAATTGAGCTGCCTGTTAAAAAACTGCACCCGATAACAGGTTTTGTTGAAACATCTAACAACAAAGGGGTATGCATATGAGTTTTTGCTCATGTAAATAAAAAAAATATAATTGTGATCTCCTTTTTGATGAGAAGGAGAAAGTTCCTAGAAACTGCCTCTCGAAAACTAACAGATGTTGTTATTTTAGCATGTGGTTTACAGCTGTATCTGAACATAGTTTTCTGACAATTTAAAGGTTTTAAAAAAACCTGATAATTACTGGAAATGAAGCTGAGTTGTGCTGTGAAGCTTGTTTAGAGTTGTTTACTTTATATTTAACATTGCATGCATTAAGCTTTAATCAGCTGGTTAATCAACGAAACATTTGCTCTCCCTGATTAAAATATTGGATTCACTGACTCAGCCCCATCAGGAGAAGCTTTAGTGCAGCAACTTGATTGGTTTAAACCAAAGAGAAAAACCAAAAGTAGAAATATAAACTGGATGAAACCAGGCTTAATAGGGATCTTGGCGTCTTAGTGGACAACCAGCTAAATATGAGCCAGCAGTGTGCAGCAGCAGCCAGAAAAGCCAATGCAATCCCAAGTTGCATTAACAAAGGTAAACAATCAAGATCAAGTGAGGTGTAATACCATTCTATAAAGCCCTAGTAAGACCACACCTAGAATACTGCATCCAGTTTTGGTCACCACACTATAAAAAAGATGTTGAGACTAATGCAGAGAAGAGCAACAAGGATGATTAGGGGACTGGAGACCAAAACATACGAAGAACAGTTACAGGAACTGGGCATGGCTAGTCTAGTGAAGAGAAGGACCAGGGGAGACAGGATAGCAGTCTTGCAATATTTGAGGGGCTTCCAGAGAGAGGAAGGGGGGTCACACTATTTTCCAAGGCACCTATAGGCCTGACAAGGAATAATTGATGGAAACTGATCAAGGAGAGATTTATCCTGGAAATATCCAGAGATATTTTCTGACAGTGAGAACAATAAAATAATGGAACAGAGGTTGCCTTCAGAAATTGTGGGAGCTTCATCACTGGAGGCTTTCAAGAAGAGATTGGGCTAGCATCTGTTAGAAATGGTGTAGTGTCTCCTGCTTGAGTGGGGGGTTGGACTAGATGGCCTGCAAAGTCCCTCCAACTCTGTTAATCTGTTAAAAAATATAACGTACCCCGGGCTACAGCTTTATTCACCTCTTTCAGATAATGGACAACCTAAAAAGTGGGCAATGCTTCTTTTTTAAAGGAAAGGTTGTCTTTAAAACATTTTAGCTTGTTGCCTTTTAAGTAACAAAGAAGAATGGCCTCCAAAGTAAAACAGGAGGGCCCTTAATTCACAAACATCCAGACCAAATTGCCCCCTATTGATTAATCACTGTAAAGTTTTAATGGAATAATCAATCATTCAACCAATTAAAGCTTCCTACTATGCTAATAACACTGGCAGGAACCCTACATGGTGGGATCCGAGTAGGCCTCCCAGAGGCAAAATAAATTAAATTTCAGCATCAGCGACTAGACTTAACACCAGCAAGGAAGTTGGCGAAAACAGATTTGTTTTTGAACCTAAAGGATACATTTATGCTTCACCTTTTAAATTGTAATAGGGATTTTGTATCCCACTGATTTTTCTCCAGGAAATGTTTCTCTGAAAAGGACCTGCAAATCTTTTAAGTGAATCTTTATTTTTTTTTAGATACCTTTTCACCCCGCCTTTATTTTTATATATATAAATAATTCAAAGTGGCAAACATACCCAAGATGCCTTTTTCTCCCTATCTTCCTCACAATAATATCCCTCTGAGGTGTGTTGGATTGAGAGATACTGGCCTAAAGAAATCCAGTCAGCTTTCAGGCCTAAAGTGGGACAAGAACTCACCATGGGTTAGTGAAAGTCACCTAAAGCTGGTTTTGGTGCCTAAGGTGGAATTAGAACTCACCATCTCCTGATGATTAGCTCAGAGTCGCCCAGATGGCTTTGGTGCCTAAGGTGAGACTAGAACTCACCATCTCCTAGTGATTAGCTCAAAGTCCCCCAGCTGGCTTTCATGTCTAAAGTGGCACTAAAACTCACAGATTCTTGGTTCTAGCATGGTACCTTAACCATTACACCAAATTGATTTCCTTGGGGATTAGGATAACTGGCATTTACCACCATTCTTGTTTTAGTAGTTCAATTACACCTAGATTTTAGAAACCTGGGAGTTAGATTTTGGCTGTATTGTGTCCATAGATGGTTGAATGTGTATCTCATCTTGTCTGTCTGTTAGGATTCAATTCCCATTTACTGAAACAACTTTTATATACAATTCCAATATGCATTTAATCAACACTTGACTAAACGGAGATCGAGGTCAGGTCCAGAATGTGTGATTTCTGTTCCTTCTCTCACTACCTGCACATGAAAATGTGTTAACATTGTTTCCTTTAAAGGTGTTTAAGACTGAGGTGTGTAGAGTTCAATATAGTGACATTATTTTTGTTCCTGAGAATCCCAATGTCTATTAGATGAAAAACAGCTACCTTGAGGCAGGTGAAAAGGGGGAAAACAGAATGCAAATGTTAAGAAAGTAGGATATTTTTTCTTGCTACAAAGTATGAATTATAAACTATAATAATTTGCTTATGGAAGATGTTATCTGATGTTATCAGAGAATCCTATACATGTCTTAATTGAACTGTAGACCTCCTAGAGGGCTGGTTAAATGAAGCTACTTCAAAAACATCCTATACTTGTTTTTCTTATTCCAAGAAAACAACCTATTCATTTTTGTATTTATTAGATTTTTATCCCACCCTTTATTACTTCATCAGAGGTAGGAGACCTGGCTCACATCCTATTGGATTGTTGCTTGTATAAGGGAGTGGGAGACAGGTACTTTGGTCCATATACCAAACGAAGGACCCATTGGGATCCCCATATCAAAACAACTGACCTTATGTGCAGCCAGAACCAGAAAATAACATTTAACACAGCACAGTATTTAAGCAAAATGGTTCGGTTGAGATCTGCATATGTAGGACTAATTGGGATAGATTGCAAGGGTGACACCGAAATATAATTTTATCATATTTTACCTATATCTTAAATTATTGTATTCTATTCCAATTTCATTATAGACTGTATTTTATTCCAATTAAATTTTAAATTGCATTTTATTCCAATTCCATTTTAAGTTGCATTTTACCAAATTCCATTTTAAATTGCTTTTATCAAATTTAGCAATACTTTGTTTGTGAAACTTTGCACTTTGATATGGCCCAAGGGTTAATCAATAAAGAGTCAATGTCAATACTTCATAAGTAACTCAAAGTAGCAAACATACGTAATATTCCTTCATCCTCCAATTTTCCCCACAATAACCTTATCAGAGGAGGTGAACAAGTAACAAAGAGGAGCAAGAAGTTAACAAGGTAGAAAAAGAAATGGGAAACAAAACTCAATGGGACAATACTAGTGAGATCAACAGTATAGAGGCACAAAAAGAGTGGAGAGGAAAAAAGGAAAATGGTAGCTGAAAAAGAAATGAGCCAAAAATAAAGAGAGAAATAATGTGAAATGGAAAGTAGAAATTTGGGGGAGGATATCCAAACAACCTATTGAAAAATGATAGAAAAAAATCAGAAGAAAAGATATAAGACATACAAAAAGAAGAAAAAGAGAAGTGAAAATTTAGAAATAGGAGACTAATAGAATGATATGAACTAGTAGAATGAAATGAAGTATTATAAACATAGTAATAATATGTGTTAAATTAGAATGTGTGTGAGCCATACTAATACTTGTAAATGTGTAAAGTAATTATGTTAAATGCTTATTATATTATATAAAATAATTATATAATTGCTATATAAAAAATTGAACTTGAAGACATGTGTTGCTTATAGAAAATAGATGGAAAGGAAATGGTAACTTTGATTTATTTTTAAAGGGAAGGAGGAAATGATATTGTTTATAGATGTAATAAAAATGAAAACCAAGAACATATGAGAAAAAAAGTAATACGGCTAACATTGGAATTAAGGGAAATATAATGTAGAATGAATTATGTGTTTATGGAAATGTTAAAGGGGAAACACTTAATTCACAAAAGAATTTTTATTATGTAACAAAAATAAAATAAAAAACTTTTTTTTAAAAAAACAATAATCCTGTACAGGTGGGCCGTGAGAGAGGGACTGGCCCAAAATCATCCAGTGTCTTAAGGTGGAATTAGAATTCAGAGTCTCTTGGCTTCTAAGCTGGCACCTTAACTACTTACACCAAAGAGTCCCAATTTTTTTAATAGTTATTTAAATAACTGGATCTCCTGTTTTGTCTTTCTTTATCACAGAGCTCTGCACACTGGATTGTGGTGCCCACGGTGTTTGTGCGAAAGGAGCATGCCAGTGTGAAGAAGGTTGGATTGGGCCCACTTGTGAAGAACGGACGTGCAACTCTCACTGCACGGAGCATGGAAAGTGCAAAGATGGAAAATGTGAATGCAGTCCTGGATGGGAAGGCGACCATTGTACCATAGGTGAGATATGCGTGTACCTGACCCAAACTGGGATAGCTCAAGAAAGGAAATTAGTGTATTTTTCAGATTATAAGACGCACCGGAGTATAAGATGCACCAAAATTTTGAAAAGGTAATTTTTTAAAAAAAAAAGTTTTTGCACTCTGCAGGCCTCCCAAACCCTCTGCATACCTTGTTTATTGTGCTCCTGGGGGAAGGGCAAAAACGAGCAAAAAAGAACCCGTTTTTCACAAAAACGCCCTCGCTTTTTGCCCCCCCAAAAGGACATGCATAGCCTTTAGGAAGCTTGTAGAGTGTTCCTGGAGGTGGGCGAGGGGCAAAAACAAGCAAAAATGGCCCATTTTCCGCTTGTTTTTGCCCTCCCCAGTCGCTAGGGGCACTTTGCAGGCCTCCCAAACCCTCTGCACATCCATTTTTATGAAGGGGCGGGGTTTTGGTAGGCCAAAAATGCTATATTCAGGGTATAAAATGCACCCAGATTTTCACCCTCTCTTCAGGAGCGGGGGAAGGTGCCTCTTATATTCCAAAAAATACGGTATCCGAAAACAAGCCAGTAGCCACTCATGATTGCAAACATGATGCATTTAGCTCTATTCAGCCTGATTTGCACTCTGGAACAAGAACCCTAAACTCTACCACGTTGAAAGCAAAAAGGCTTCAGAGTTGCAATTAAACAGACAGTGTGACTTCTCCAAGATGGGGCATGATTATTTCATGGCTGTCAAGCTATTCTCTCAGGCTTCGGCCTAGAAGGAGCAGTGGATGTAATCAGACTGAATCACTTTGGCATACATCAAACTAAGGCCCTTTAACCAAAGTCAGGACCATAGACAGCTCCCTGAAGTCTTGCTGGCTGGACCGTTCAGCCTTTAATACCGCATGAGAAGGAAGCTTTCTGAAGTCTTAATGTAAGCTGACGCTGTGTTGTAGATGACACAATTCCCTAAAGGAATTGGCTTAGTTCTTTGAAAGGACTTTGCCTGATTTCATATCCATGTCCTTCTGAAAATAATGTGGTGGGTGCTAGCCCAAACAGCTTGCGAGTCTGGAAGTGATAATAAGGCCGGTGAGGGAAATGGAGAAGATGTGTGAAATTCTTGATCCTCTTCTGAGTCTCTCTGGAAAGGGAGGGGGGCATGGCACTGTAACTCAGCTTAATTTCTCGTTATGTATCTGGAACTAACATGGCATTAAGGAGAGGAGGAGACGGTGGCTCAGTGGCTAAGACACTGAGCTTGTTCATCAGAAAGGTTGACAGTTTGGTGGTTCGAATCCCACGTAACCATGTGAGCTCCTGTTACTTGTCCCAGCTTCTGCCAACCTAGCAGTTCGAAAGCATGTAAAAATGCAAATAGAAAAATAGGAACCACTTTGGTGGGAAAGGAACAGTGTTCCATGCATCTTCAGTGTTTGGTCATGCCCACATGACCACGGAGACCTCTTCGGAAAGCGCTGGCCTTTCGGCTTTGAAACCGAGATGAGCACCACCCCCTAAAGTTGGGAATGACTAGCACATATATGCGAGGGGGAACCGAGAAGAGGAGGAAATTCCTCAGATAAAGAACCACAGAACTGCAGAGTTGGAAGGGACCTCAAAGATGTTCTAGTCTGACTCTCTGCAGTGTAGAGGAAAACCAATTAAAGCATCAAAGTTGGCTAATTCAGCCTTTTATAAACCTCCAGAGATAAAGAACCCACAGCCTCCAGAGACAAAATGATCCACTGCTATACAGATCTTAACAGTCCAAAAGTTTTTCCCTTATCATTTAACAAAATGTAGGTCACTGCAACTTGTGCCCATAATTTCTACTTCCAGTTTTGAGGACCATGAAAAAGAGTTCTTGATCATCGTCTTTGCCGTTTCCTTGTAAGTTTAGTAAGTCAGTTTCTTTCGGAAACATTTGTTTCCTCTCTTAGCTGTCTATACTTCTGCGAATAAAAGATGTGTCTGATCATTGTGGATGAGGAAGGTGTTGGCTTTTACTTCCAAAGCCAAATCAAATCCCCATGAATTCAAACCATAAGGCGAGGTGGCTATGAAACGAGGAGAGAAGTTGAGCAAATCTGTTTCTTTAGAAGTCAGAAGAAGATACTGCAGAAAATAATTTCTGCAGAGCTTCTGTCACTTAGTTATTGTGGCAAAGAGATTGTTTAATGGGTGAAGCTGCTCATGAAAAAGCATAGAAAGGAAACTTTCAGCAACTAGGTTTCCCCTTACACCCCCACCAAGAATCTGTGGCATTTGCAAAAAATTGTTTTCCTTCTAGCCAAAGAACAACCAGCCAGGTGTGAAGCAGAGTTCTAGCAACAGTTCAAAAGATCAGCTGTAAAAATGTTTCATGCACGAAAAGATTCAGGAGAAAGCAAAGTGTGAATCAAACAATGCAATGAAGATTCTGGCAGTTTCTCACAAGAGGACACAGAATGTTGCTTCCCACAGAAGGTCATCTCCACTGGCCAACTTTCAATCTCAGAGTTCAAGACTCTCTCCTAAACCACAGGAATTGCATTGGTTCAGAAGATCACAGAAGCTTTTGTTTTTAACCTACTAAATTTTTCGGCACTCTGGATCTTAACCTATTGCCTTTCTCACAGATTTGATTGATGCTCTGGAGCAGTGATCACCAACTGATGGTCCGTGGACCACTGGTGGTCTGCGAGAAAATTTTGGTGGTCCGCAGAAAAGTTATTTGTATTGTTTATATTAAATCAAAGGTCCTCAAACTATGGCCCCTGGGCCAGATATGTGCAGTGAATGTTTGTGTTGGTGCAGAGAGTCTCCCCCTTCTGGGTCTTTTTGTGTGGGTCAGAGAGGGGCAGAAATTCCAACTTGGGGTCTGCTTCAGCTTCTGGTGCAGGGATTTGGGCAAGGGCTGGAGGGAAGTGCTGCTGGTGACGAAGAGCCGGAGGATCTCGTTCCAGTGGGACAGCATTATGGCCTGGGACTGGCTGACCATCTCAGCCCTCTGAGCCTCCGGGCGTCGGTACCTGGTCTTGCATTCCCACAGGTCTTCCCTCGGCTTGGAAAGCCTATGCTTGTAATCCTTAGTGATGTGTTTCTCCTTAGTCTCCTTCTCAGTCAGATTCAATTGGAACTGAGCCAGCTGTTTTGCCAACTCTTTCTCATGGTGGCTGCTTAGCTCCAACAACTGCTTCCTGTTGGTGCCGTAAGGAGGCTGGGTGGGCAGGCAAGGAGTGGCAAATAGAGGCTGGCAAAGCGAACCTCGATATGAGTGACTTCGAGTTGACCGTGCCCACCCAGTCACATGCCCTCCTTGCCACACCCACCCACCCAGTCATTAGGCAGATCATATTAGTCGTCCGCAGAATTTAAAATTATGAATTTCGTCATCTGTGACTCCTGCTCTGGAGTTACTCGGGTAAGATGTGGGATGCAGATTCCCTGCTTGGGGTTTTTTCCTTGCTTGGGGAAGCAGCTCCTGATCTCATCTTTTTCCTCTGCTATTGGCTCACTTTTGGAGAGAAAAAAATCCTCAGTAGACATTCTGAAAATTAAATGGAGTAGCCTTGCTTTGTTCCAGATCAGCTTAAGTGAGCTGCTTTGATATAGTGAGTCTATACACAATAATATCAGGAGAATAGCTAAAAAACATATATCCACTTTAAATTAATTTAAGAAAATGAAACAGTTTAAACACACTAATTCTTATGTTCTCTGCCTTTATAGGATTTAAATATTAGCCAAGTTATTAAAAGTGTTCATTTATCTTTGTTTCCTTTATCCCCAAGGCTAATTTCTAATTATATTTCTAATACAAATCTAAAATTCTCAGATCTTTTTAGAACGCATTCCTTAGCTGTGGAAATGCAATTGTTACATTTTAATGAAAAATAATACCTTTCTCCCAAGTCGGTTCTAGTAAGTCTTGGCAAATCGTTGTTCAGGAGTTCCCAAAGTGTTTTTGTCCATAAATATTTTAATTGCATGCAGGAAACTTGGTTCTCTAATATAATAAGAACATGTCAGCTACGTACCAGAATTTTATCAAGAGAATGGAGTTTGTTCAGTTTAGTTTGAGGTACTTTTTGGTTTAATTTCTGGATTTCCATAAAAAAGCCCTACACTTTCACTCCTTATCTTCTTGGTTCAATTTTAAACAATCAAATTTGGGTACCATACATCTCAAACTGAGAGTGACTCGTGAGTGGTGTACTGATCATCTTCTTCTTGTGCCATACCCATTATCAGACGTTGGCGATCATGTTGGTGATCCTGTTTTTATCAACAGCTGCAACAAAAAAGTGCTGTTGAGTTTTGCCCAAACCAGTCACTTAGATTTTTGAAGCCAGAATGTTTTTCTTCTGCCTGGACCTCGTTTACCTTCAATTTTCCCTTGTATTGATAGAAGCACAAAAACTTAAAATCATATAATATGATTTCTTCATGAGAAGCAGGATGCTGTCTGGTGTTTTCTGGCAGGGATTAGCAATAAAATGGTTCTAGATAAGAGTTAATGGAATTCAAGAGGGTTTCAACTTGGGCTGTTTGTGGGAATGTAATGATTCCAGGCTGATTCCTCTCCTGACTCCACCCCCAAGGCTCTGCCTGTACTTCTCCTACACAAAGTCATCTCTGTTTTGCTCAACACTTGTACATTCTGGGTAAGGTAAAAGTAAAGGTTCCCCTCACACATATGTGCCAGTCGTTCCCGACTCTGGAGTGGTGCTCATCTCCGTTTCAAAGCCGAAGAGCCAGCGCTGTCCGAAGACGTCTCCGTGGTCATGTGGCCAGCATGACTAAATGCCAAAGGTGCACGGAACACTATTACCTTCCCACCAAAGGTGGTCCCCATTTTTCTACTTGCATTTTTACATGCTTTAGAACTGCTAGGTTGGCAGAAGCTGGGACAAGTAACGGGAACTCACTCTGTTAGGCAGCGCTCAGGATTTGAACCACCGAACTGCCAACCTTTCTGATCGACAAGCTCAGCCTCTTAGCCACTGAGCCACCGCATCCCTTACATTCTGAGTAGGCCTGTACAAAACAAAGAAAATGTTAATAATGCACAGACTTATAGAAGAATTGGACGCCTTGTATATCTGGAGCACAGTCTGTATTTCAAACTGACAATACAGCACCCTTAGACAGATAACAATGATGATTAAAAACACTGTACTTATTGTTTCCGCTGGAAACCCATTCTAATGGCTACTTAGGTAACAGGATTAGATTAATGGTAGCTTCCATTCATACAGATCATAAATAGCCTGTTTAAACCACAGCAGAAGCTCTTAATCTCAATCAACCGAATGGCAAATTAATACAGAAAGGTTTATTCATTTTCATTTCAGTACATAAATGTACTGAAGTAGTGGGCTGTCATTCCACTTCCTACTACGCTACAGTCACGACTTGTTAGAAGGAAGCCATGAATGTGAGAGCTGCAAGGAAGAAAAGGCCAGGTGGAAGATATATTTCTCTCTCTCCTTTTCAGAGCTTCTATAGAAGGAATAGATCAGACATCCAGGCCTTGCTTACCAATAGAGACCAAATGGAGCAAGTGGCCAGTTTTAAGTTTCTGGGTGTTATCATAAAAGAGGACCTGACCTGGGGTGTTCACATGGCAGCCCTGGTCAAAGGGGCCCATCAGAGATTATACGACCTGAGACTTCTCAGGAAACAACAACTGAATGAAAAACTGCTGATGACCTTCTACCACTGCACCATAGAGAGTATTTTGACTTACTGCACAAATTGTGTCCGGTTTGCCAATTGCACAGTGGCAGATAGGACAGCGTTCCAGAGGGTCAACANTGACTCCCTCTTCTTTGTGGCAACCCCCTGAGATATTGGAAGACTGCTATCATGTCTCCCCTAGTCCTTCTTTCTATTAAACTAGACATACCCAGTTCCTGCAACCATTCTTCATATGTTTTAGCCTCCAATCCTCTAATCCTCTTTGTTGCTCTTCTCTGCACTCTTTCTAGAGTCTCCACATCTTTTCTACACTGTGGTGACCAAAACTGGATGCAGTATTCCAAGTGTGGCCTTACCAAGGCTTTATAAAGTGGTATTAACACTTCACGTGATCTTGATTCTATCCCTCTGGTAGAAAGTTGATCATCTATGGCAGGAGTCTCAAACTGGATTTCTTCAAGGGGTGGATAAGCATTGTAATTCTCCTCTATGAGCTGGCAGGGTGAGCAGGAAGTGGGGGGAGATGGGATGGATGCCTCCTACAGCACTGTGCCAACCAAAACGGGGTATGAGAGGGGCACGCACAGCACCCCAGCATCCCATTTTTGGCCTGAATGTGCTCCTGCAGCACTTTGCCAGCCAAAATGGGGCATGAGGAGGCCCCTGGTGCAGCCCGTTTTTGCTTTCCCCTGCCACCTGCAACCCTCTGCCAGCCAAACCTGGGCCATTTTGGCCAGCAGAGCCACCGCAGGCTGGTTCTTTTATATTTCTAGGCTGTGGGCCAGATTTAAGCACCCCGTGGACTGGATCCAGCCTCCAAGCCTTCAGTTTGATGCCCCTGGTCTATGGAGATTCTCAATTGTCCAGGTCAAGGTTGTCCCAAAGATGCTTTTCCAAAAGCACATGAACTTTCTTGGTTTCTTTTCTTTGAAAATATTTCACTTCTCATCCATGAAGCTTCTTCAGTGCTGACTGAATAGTGGGGAATGGAAGGGTTTATATTCTTTGCAGGCATCTGGTCATTGTCCAAAATGTGGACAGAGGACTGTTGGTTTGACCATCTGTCAAAGACCTCAAAGAGGCCATCTATGTTAAAACAGAACAATCTTCTCTCAACAGAGGGGTAAGGATACAACATCACCTATCTCCTGTCTACAACCAAGTCCTTTCAAGTCCCAAGGAGGTTTTGCACCTAATTATATTGTGAATACATTCATGTGATTAGGTGACCCTGAGAATACAGATAAAAGCCCCAAGTGGCCTCAGAGAGCTAATGACTATAAATCCTTCTATTCCCCACCATTCAGTCAGAACTGAAGAAGCTTCTTGGATAAGAAAATTAATGTTTTTAAAGGAAAAAAAAACAAGCAAAAGTCTGGTTTCCTTTTGGAAAAGCATCCTTGGATACAATTGATCAAGATTTGTTCCTGTGTTTCTTTCCCTTTGTGCTGTTGGCTCAGGGAGTCCTGGGAGATGCTCTTCCCCACATATCTGCCAGATGGAGAAAAAATGTTTTGACATCATTGAGTCTCTTCATCTGTTTCACTTTCTCCTGTACTGTGGACGTGCAAGAACTCTGCAATCTAGTTCAGTGCCCTAATGTGGAACTTTGGTCATTACTTGACCCAGATTGCTGCTATGATAATCTGATCCAATTTGCTGCTTGGACTTAGAGCAAGATTTAGGGGTGGAAACAGAATTTTCTCCTCCCGTAACCGAGCACTAGGAAAATTAAAAAGGCCTGTTCTTGTTTCTTTGCTTTGTTTTTCCAATTCATTGAGTTTCAGAGAATATAGAATAGAATGGAATGAAATGGAATGGAATAAGGAATTAGAATAGAATAGAGAATGAAATGAGAATACAATAGAATAGAATAGAGATTAGAATAGAATAGAATAATGGAACGGAATAGAATAGAATAGAATAGAATAAGGAATTAGAATAGAATAGAGAATGAAATTAGAATAGAATAGAATAGAAAATAGAATAGAATTGCAGAATTGAATGGAACGGAATGGAATAGAATAGAATTGCAGAATGGAATNGTTTTTGACATTTATGTTCTCATAGCAATCCCTGCCAACTTCAGTTGTAATAAGAAATAGAATGGTGTATAATTCAAAATGAAAAAGAATACAGATGAAGAGGTTTTATCAAGTCGATTCAAAGTCTTTTGATTTAGTGTTCTAGATGTAGTCAAGAACCAAACTAATTCATAACACTAGAGAATTCCTGGAACTTTGGCATTCTGACAAATCGGCCATCAACAGGCACATAGAGAGAAACCCCACTAGACACTGTAGAAAAGACAGAATCAAAAGTCAGAAAAAGGAAACACACAGAGCACATTCTCTCTAGCAAAAACACATGGATAAGCAGGGAGGAGGAGGAGGAGATCATCATCTGCCATTTCACACAGGAGAAAAAACAGCAAAACTAAGCTGAAATCCTTGAGGCTTTTCTAGGGCTGCTGTAGAGAACTGATAGGAACAACTTTACCCAGTAAATGGGTGTTTTATGACTGGCCATTAGTAAGAAAATATTGGTAAGAGTGTTCAGACATACTGTCTACTATGATCAGGAACTGAGGAGTGCAGTAGGAATGCTAAAGTACATGTTTTATTTTATTTTTATTTGCTTTTAGATGTAGCTGCTGACTCACATTTTATTGTCAACATTCAGACATGCTAATCAATATAGCATCATTAAGGAGCTTCAGAACACTACAAGCAACGCCCGTTTACATGCAGCTTCTTGAACTGAAAATCAGGCTGCAATGAGTATAAGATAGACCATAAACGGAGCAGCAGCTCCACTGTGAATGGAGGGAGAAAAGTTCGGATTCTCTCTGCTATAGCATTCACTATGAGCCCTTCTCGTGCTCATACACACATTTTTTTCCTACCGGGTTCTGTGGGCATGGCTTGGTGGTGGGGTCATGTGACTGAGTGGGCGTGCCTGTGAGTGACATCGAGTTGGTCATGCCCACTCAGTCACAGGACCATACCATCGCCAAGCCACGCCCACAGAACTGGTAGGGAAACAATTTGAATGTCACCCATGACTAGGAGAGAGAGAGAAAAAAAATCCTGTGACATATTCTGGATAAATGCACAGTTAATGGCATGGGAAGCTCCAGAAAGCTTTTCTTTTTTGTTTGCATATAAAATTCATGAAGAGCCTTGAAGAATAGCGATTTCGCTTTATCCAAAGAGAGGACCTAATGCAGTTGTTTAAGCAAAGTCCCATTGCCTGCTGTTGAATTGTTTTGCAGGAAAGATTATAATGCACGATGCTTTTTTTATGTGGTGTCTTTGCAGATGGATGCCCAGGCCTGTGTTATGGAAATGGAAGGTGCACCCTTGACCAAAATGGATGGCACTGTGTCTGCCAAGTGGGCTGGAGCGGAATGGGCTGCAATATTGTTATGGAAATGCTTTGTGAAGATAACGTCGATAATGATGGAGGTACAGAGACAGTTATTGCTCAAGTGTATATGCAATTCTTGTGAATGAATGAATGAATGAATCTTCTATAGGGCTTCAGTTTCAATGGACTCTAAGCAACATACAGCAATATACTATAACACAGATAGTCCTTGAGTTCATTTAGTACCTTAATGCTGTGTGAAAATAACACTGATAATAGCAATAGCACTTAGACATATATGCCTCTTCACAGTGCTTTACAGCCCTCTCTAAGTGATTTACAAAGTCAGCATATTGTCAATGAATAATCTCATTTTTGGAAGGATTGAAAGCTGAGTCAATCTTGAGCTGGTCAGGATTGAACTGCTGGCTGTGGGCAGAATTAGCCTGCAACACTACATTCTGACCACTGCGCCACCACAATTTTTAACATTGATAATGATGAAGCTATGGGCACAGAAAATTCTCAAGAATGTATCTGTCATTTTTGTAAATGAATGAATCTTCTATTGGGTTGCAGTTACAATGGACTCTAGGCAGGGTACAGCAATATGCACAATACAAATCATCCTTGACTTAAAATGATTTGTTTTAGTAACTTCGAAAGTTAAAGCAACACCAAAAAAAAGTGACTTACATTTGGTCCTTACACTTAGAAACATCACAATATATTCATTGTCACATGATCAGAATATGGGGTCCTGGCAACTGGCATGTATTTACAGCAATTGCAACATCCCACCACAGCATAACAGTCGTGATGGCACAGTGGTTAGGATGCAGTATTGCAGGCTAACTCTGCTGACTGCCAGCAGTTCGATCCTGATGAGCTCAAGGTTGACTCAGCCTTCCATCCATTCGAGGTCGGTAAAACGACCCAGATTGTTGAGGGCAAGAGGCTGACTTTGTAAACCACTTAGAAAGGGCTGTAAAAGCACTGAAGCAGTATGTAAGTCTAAGTGCTATTGCTATTGGTATCCCAATGTCAACATGACAGGTAATTCTCCTGTTACAAGCTGTGCTGCCCCACTGACCCACACATCCATGTAGGTATAGAGAGAGCTTTATTTTGTCTCTCCCCCCCCCCACAAGCAGTTCTGTTTCAGGTTTTCACTTCACTCACAGCTGCTAGATTAAAACAGCAATTTGGCTCAAGACCAAGTAGGTAACAAAGGAATTGACCTACGGCAAACTCAAAACAGTCTCGAAATACAGGCTTTGGGTAGTTTCAAAAAAGAGAAGCCAAAATCCCATCTGAGGTTTGGAGCCTCCCATTAGGTGTGTCAGCCAGTCCAATGGTCAGAGTTACAGGGTTTACAGGTAGAATTCACAGGATCAGCCCAGGACAAGAGTTCAGAGGGTCGTTTCCAAGCGAAGCCAGCCATGAACATGCCCCAAACTAAACATGATAGCAATGTTCCAATATCTCAGGAGCTGCTACAAAGAAGAGGGAGTCAAGCTATTATCCAAAGGACCTGAGGGAAAGACAAGAAGCAATGGGTAGAAAGTAATCAAGGAGAGAAGCAACCTGGAACTAAATAGATTTTTCCTGACAGAACAATTAATCAGTGGAACAACTTACCTCCAGAAGTTGTGAATGCCCCAACACTGGAAGAGTTTAATGAGATGTTGGATGTCTGAAGTGGTGTAGGGTTCCTGCCTAGGCAAGGGGTTGGACTAGAAAACCTCCAAGGTCTCTTCCAACTCTGTTATTCTATTCTATTCCTATTCTATTCTATTTCCTATTCTATTCTATTCCATTTCCTATTCTATTCTATTCTATTTCCTATTCTATTCTGGCCTTGAACTCCCACAAGTCTTCCCTCTGCTTGGAAAGCCTATACTCGTAAGTCCTCAGTGAGGTGCTTCTGCTGAACCTCCTTCTCAGTCAGATCCCATTTGAACTAAGCCAGCTGTTTTGCCAACTCTTTCTCATGGTGGCTGCTTGGCTCCAACAACTGCTTCCTGTTGGGGCCCTAAGGAGCCCGAGCGGGCAGGTGAGGAGTGGCGAGTAGAGGCTGGCAAGGCGCCCCTTGATGTGAGTGACATCAAGTTGGCCATGCCCACCCAGTCACATGACCATCTTGCCACGCCCACCCAGCCGGTCATTAAGCAGATCATATTAGTGGTCCGCAGGATTTAAAATTATGAATTCAGGTGTCCCTGAGGTCCGAAAGGTTGGTGACACCTGACACAGGAAGATACTAAGGAATGAATTAAATGGGCATCTCACGATCCACTCCATGGGTATCTAACCTTGGCAACTTTAAGACCTGTGGACTTCAACTCCTAGAATTCCCCCAGCCAGCCCTGCTCTACACCTTTGGTTCCCGTTTGTTTTCTGAGA